ACACACACACACACACACACACACACACACACACACACACACACACACACATACACACACACAGGTTTTGATGTGACGTTTTGGTTTGCCTTGTTTGAAATTCCTTTTCGTCCAAAACGTCACAGGACAAATACGACTGGAATTGTTAAATGGTCACTTGTAAGGACAAGCGGGCTAACTAAGATTTCGAGGGTTTCCATAAATCTTGTCCTACACCAAAAGTGGGCATTGCCCTACCTATAGGAGAAGTTTGCTTTCGTTGGCATATATATTTGATAGGTTATAGAGAAAATTCTCCTTGTATTTTAAAGAAACTGAGCAAGGGTCCAAAACTTTACTATAGATTTTCTCAAAACAGCATTTTCCGGGATAGCCCCCTTGCGCTTAAAAGCGACCATATACAAAAAAAATGAAAACGAAACAAATAACAAAACGATCATCATACCTTCTGTTGATACGTCTCGCGTCCTGACAAGATCGCACTTATTAGCCACGAGAATGACAGGCCCCGCCCACATGTCAATTTTTCGCAGTTCGTACAGAAGATCTGTGCCTCTTTCAAAAGTGGAGCGGTCATCAATGGTGAAGACAACAACAAAGGCATCTGTGTTGGGTACGGAATGTAGGTCCTGTAGAAAGATCGAAGAAAGAATTGGAAGTTTCAGAAAAACGTCATCAACTAACGAAAAAAAACCCCTATGACTATGACCCATCAGCCCAAAAGTGAAGCTAAGGATAAAACCCGAGTCTTTGAATGGCCTGAAGGAAAGCTGTTTGTGAAGTATGCAAATAAAAATGTAAATGTTTACACAAATGAGTATGTAAATGATTGTACCAAAAATAGAGAGCTCTATTTTGTTCTCTCGGAGACTGTAGAGGATTGACATATTTTGAACAATTAAACGACAGTTGTTTGTATGGATTTTTCTCTTCAGCTTCTGCACAATTTAAGGATGGGTTCAAATTATTGACCTAAGATTGAGAAAGACGCATGCTTTTCACGTCTGAAATTTCCTGTTGTTGAATTGTTTGTCTAAATGGGTTTTTGTTGTTATTTAGTCGTTTGGACCGGGCCTTCTTTTCACAAAAGGAACAAAAATAATGCTGCTATCCTGAAGTTCACTAGAGTAAGTCAACATATCATGAAAAGGTCTGATGTTCGTGACTTTGGGTCGACAGCCAAGTTGGATATTCATGTCTTGAGATGTTTAAACTTTGCTTTAAGGAGGAAGATTTCTACGTGGTTTAAAGTGTCCAGGCATTGAGAGGGGGAAATTACGTTGTACTTATGGAGTGAACATCAGTTGGAGGGGAAAAAACATTTAAGATGGAGTGAAAATAAGGAGGCGTAAAAACAAAATGACGTAAAAATACGGTTGTGCAGGGCGATGTAGCCTTAAATTAGTAGGAGAAAATAACACTGAACGGCAACAACTAAAACAGCATGGGGATGCCACCAAATTGCATTTGGAAGTGCATACGCCCAGATAAAACTGATAACCAAAGAACCTCCGATATCCCACGCGCGGACGAAGGAAATATACACAGTCATTTCCTTGAAACGAGAGGCACAAATTAAATCCCGCGGCGACCAGTCACTACTGGCAAAAATCAGGACCGGTCCCTTCTCTGGGGCTAAGGGCCTTAAAAAATAGAATAGACAAAACATCGGACCCAATCTGTCCATTATGCAGCGAGGAGCCCCAAGATTTGGAGCACTAGCTGAAGAGATGCCCGCTACTGAGGTCTGCCATTGCATCTCTTTGGGGAGGATTCAGGGCGAAAGGACTGATTCACCCGATGCTCCAAACAATTCGAAAGGATAGGCTCACACACACACACACACACACACA